CTAGAAGGAAAAGGCTTGACCTTTGACAAACGGTGATAGAATGAAGATTTCACCACCTCATTTACATCAAAACTATGCAGGGTCAGTTTTTACCCCAAGATTAGTAATTGAGCTCTTCAGGTGAGGAGTCAGAGCAGCAAAGTCAACACCAGAGGAACGACTGGGACCAAATAATATTGCTTCCATTTTACGTTTTTTAAAATGTCAAAAAATGTAGGGCCATCCACGTTGTAACATCGCTAAGACGATCAAGCAGGAGTCCAATCGAGGAGCTGAAGTGACTGAAAGGTAGATAAAGCTGGCAATCGTCAGCACGTAGATGAAATGAAATTTTGTGTTTTCGGAAGATCACACCCAGTGGCAGGAGATGAAAACAGCAATGGCCCAGGAATAGATCCCTGCGGTACGCCCCATAGCAGAGGGGCCACAGAGGACGAACCCAACTTAACAGAAAAGCTCCTGTTAGAGAGATATGATCTTATCCACCAAAGCGCCAAGATGGAAAATCCTACACAATGCTGTAGTCGAGACATCAGCAGGTCATGATGTGTTGACTGCAGCAGTCATATCCAATAAAACAAGCACTACATGCTTACGACAGCCCATCGCTAACAGAATCTCATTCAGGTCTTTTATCCTGGAGCAACCAACTCTTCATGCAGTGGATCCAAAATCTACTCAAAGAGTTTCACTTGTTCCACATTTTGTCATGTTGCAGCCTTATTCTGAAATTAAATTCTTGTAAATTTATTAAGAATAAAAAACTAAAATTACCACATACTGAGTTCAATTTTAAAACTAAACTCAACTGAACTCAACTTTTCAGAGCTGAGGGAAAACAGCAGCTTCCAGCAGGAGTTGAATGTTGCTGATGGAACAATAAGGCATAGTAAATAAATTCAAGTTCCCAAAGGTTCAACGTTCAAACCAAAATTAGAAAGCAGTGATGATGGTGGTCACGTTTCAGCCTTGTTGTTTGTGCATCTCTTACTTAAAGAGGTTTCCCAGGTTGAACAGAGCTCGGTTGTGCTGAGGGTTGGTTTCCAGTGCTTTCCTGTAGTACATCTCTGCCTCCTCTGGGCTGCGAGTCAAAGTGCCAAGATTATTCATGGCGCTGGCATGACGGGGGTATAACCTGAGAGTAGAGGAGGATGCTGTGATCAAGAACATTTTGTATAATCACAGCATTGGAGAATGCTGGACAGCACACTCCGATTAACTGATAATAGTCTTATGTGTCAACAACACTTGCCCTACCTGAAACTTATCTTATGACATCTTATCTTAAACTAATCTTATGACACGCTCTGAAGCCATGTTTCATCCCCTCATGAAGCTTTTTATGAGGCATATTTTTAACACGTCTATGGTTAAACACGTACATATATCTCTGACTGCCGTCTACATACTCGTTCATGTAAAGGACAAAACTTTCATACAAATGAAGTTATTGATTTGTCGATGTTACTCCTAAGGCGCACCGGATTATAAGGCACACTGTCAATTTTTGAGAAAATTAAAGGATTTTAAGTGCACCGTATAG